TCTTGTCTTCTTCTGTCACCATGTTAATAGCCACACCCTATGGCCAAACAGGCTACCTTGACCGATTCTGTGGATATAGTTTTCCCCTACTGGTAGGAAGGTCATAGTTGATGACTAAAGAAACCTGCTGCACATCAGGGCCTCTGGCCTATGTCAAGAAAGAAAACTTGAGCATAATCTATCCAGAAAGGACTTAAGCATGTATGCATGTAGGCAGCCAAAGGAAGTAAGCATCCCCTGCCTCCCAAAGACTTTAGGCATGCCAGCTTTTATTCCAAATTGCTGCTTTCCTAGCAAGCTGGTTGTTGAGCATGGTCATTATTAAAAATTAAGTGATAGAAACTTTCAATTAAATAAATTATATGAAAACCCCAAGTAATAAATATTCAGAACTCATTGTTTCCTAATTATTTTGCCACATTTTACTATTATTCATGTTCTTGATGTTATATCTTTGTATCTGCAGGGTGAAAATGCTACATGATACCCTCTTATTGTGTATCTTTTCTCAATTCTGTGTTCTCTTGATAGCATGAAATTGGTTATGATGGCAGTATTTACACCAGTGCAATTGGAAAACACTACATATCAGAGTTTGATTTAGTATTTTGTTGAGTATGATAGAGAAAATGCTAACAATGCATATTAAACTTAAAAGTGTGTCATGTCTATAACCCTTACATTGTGACTAGTCCCCCAAACTTAGGAAACAGCCCTTCAATATTTGAAAGCTGTTATTTGATTCAGCAAAGAAATTGCTTACATCATTGACTTCCAAATGACATTCCCACATACAACTTTGTTGTTTAATCTTCCTCTTCTTCCTAATGTAAATGAAAGTATCAACCAACATTCATACCAAAACCATACCTGCTCATCAATTGCAACTCTAGGTGGGCTTTAGATACATGAGATTGGCAAAAATCAACTAAAGCATTCTTTGAGAATTGTGTACATAGAGTTTGTAATAAAGAGTAATTCTTATTCTATTATCACTTGTAAACTGTGCACTACAGATCCTTTATATTAGTAAAAATATCTTTTTTAGAGACAGAGTTTCACCCTGTCGCCCAGACTGGAATGCAGAGGTGCAGTAGCTCACTGCCACCATGAACTCCTAGGTTCCAGATATCTTCCCGACTCAACCTCCCAAGTAGCTAGGACTGCAGGTTACCTCAGTACAATTTATAATAAACTACGTACATGTATCTGCATACTTTTTTTTTTTGAGAGCTGGTGGTTAAACTTTTACCAGTACACCACTGGCCAGAGAGGACACACTGCTAGCCCCAGGCGAGATGGGTACCATTGACATAGTTTGCCCCACAGGATGTTATTTAAAACAAAACAAACAATAAAGCTATGGCATGTCAACTTTTTATTTGTTTGTTTTTGTTTTTATTAGTAGGATTCTCACTCTGTTGCCCAGACTGGAGTGCAGTGGCACACTCACGGCCACTGCAGCCTCAACCTGCTGGGCTCAGGTGATCCTTTCTCCTCAGCCTTCCAAGCAGCTGGAACTACAAGTATATTCTACTACACCTGGCTAATTCTTCTTGATTTATTGTAGAGATGAGGTCTCACCAAGTTGCCCAGGCTGGTCTCGAGCCCCTGGGCTCAAGCAGTCCTCTCACCCCAGCCTCCCAAAGTGCTGGGATGACAGGCTTGAGCCACCGCACATGGCTGGCATGTCAGCATTTACACTTTATAGGAATTTGCATGAAAATCTGGAATTCCTAATTATCTTGGAGGATCAGAGATGGCCCAGTGGTATTCTCCTGTGGGAGCACTCAGCTGGAGCTGAGCCATGTGGCCCTTCAGGTGGGGTACACACCCTCACTTCACTGCCATCCCCACCACTCCCTGCTGTCCCCCGGTCCTGTGGTTGAGTGCTAGATGCCATATATCCTCATGTCTGTTTGGTGCATTTTCTCTCTCCTTCTTTTTCCCACCACAACACAAACTGAATCATCTTTTCAGTCCAGAAAACTGGAAACCTCAGACTTGATCTATAACTAAATTAACTTTCCCTCTGTATTGGCTTAAGTCTCACTGGCCCGCAATTATTTCTCAAATCACTTAAAACATATGTGAAAGGGCTTTGACACTATTAAAAGCTGCCAAATGGCCAGGTGCGGTGGCTCCCACCTGTAATCCCAGCACTTTGGGAGGCCGAGGCAAGACAATTGCCTGAGCCCAGGGGTTCAAGACAGCCTGGACAACATGGAGAGACTTCATCTCTACAATAAATTTAAAAATTAGCCATGATGGTGCGTGCCTGTAGTTCCAGCTACTTGAAAGATGAGGCAGAAGGATCTCCTGAGCCCAGCAGGTTGAGGCTGTGGTAGCCATAAGCATGTCACTGCACTCTAGCCTGTGCAGCAGAGTGAGACCTCAACTCAAAAAAAAAAAAGACTACCAAATGGAAGACATATCGTTTCTAACACTTAATTTTATACTTTATTAATAAAAAGTCATAAAAATTCACCTTGTTACATTTTCAGTAACTAATCACAGTAAATATATTACTAATATTTTCACTTATATCTTGCTTGCCTTCCTTTCCCCTCCTTTTTCTCATCTCTTTTTCTATCACTGTAATGTTAGCTCTGAAGTACAATGTCAGTAATGAGGTCATCACATTTTTTTTCTGCTGGAATTCATACTTTGGTCTTTGTTTTGGCCTAGTTTCAACACTGACATTATGAATTCATGCTAATTAGCCGAATGGCCAAATCCCCCACCAATTAAGCAAATGTAGAAATTTCAGGTTATTTCAGTTACTCTACATTAAGGGTAAGAGAAAAAATATAATGAATGTGACAGAGTCATCAACTCCAGGATATGCTGCTGTTTCCTCTATTCATTATTATTATGGTATCACGAGTGCAATACTGTTTCAGCTTCATGGCACTCTAGACATTTGTACCACAATTGTCATGGAGTCTATATTCCACTTTAATGTTGTCTCTGTGAGAGAAAATATTCATTGTACAATGATATAAAAACATGTTGCTTTGGTTCCTTTTGTCAACACACATAAAACCATTTTGTGTCAACCATGTTGTATAAAGTGTATTAACTTTCCAGTCTTTTTTTTTGTTTGTTTTTTAGACCAGATTTTACTCTGTTGCCCAGGCTAGAATACAGTGGCACTATCACAGCTCACCACAGCCTCCAACTCCTGGGTGCAAGTGATCCTCCTGTGTCAGCCTCCCTACAGTTGGGACTATAGGCATGCACCACCATGCCTGGATAATTTTTTGATTTTTATTGTAGAGAGAAGGTCTTGCTATGTTGCCCAGACTGGTCTTGAACTCCTGGGCTCAAGAGATCCTCCCACCTTGACAGGCATGAGCCACCATGCCTGGCTAACTTTCCAGTCATAAACTTCCAAATGGACTGAGCCCTAAAAGTTCATTGCTAATCATCTATTAGTAATTTGAGCATTTTTTTAACCCATGGGAATAACATTATAAGTGGTTATTAGATTCTCAGGCTAGCCCCTCATGTAGTTGAACAAGTTCTAACAGTATTCATCTAAGTTCTGATTTCTGGAGCAAGAGAGAAGGATGAGGAGAGGAAAGAGGAAAAGGAGAGGAGAAAGAGGGGAAATGGTGTAGCAAGGGCAAAGCTAGAAGATGTGAAGAAAGACTGGGTGCTGTTGCTCACACCTGTAATCCCAGCACTTTGGAAGGCTAAGGCAAGAGGATCACCTGAGCTCAGGGGTTCGAGACCAGCCTGGGCAACATAGTGAGACCTCATTTCTACAATAAATCAAAAAATTAGCTGGGTATGGTGTCTATAATCCCAGCTACTCAGGACACTGAGGCAGTGTCACCTAAGCCCATAGGTTGAGGCTGCTGTAGCCGTGAGTGTCCACTGTACTCCAGCCTAGGTGACAGAGTAAGACTCTGACTCAAAAAGATGTGAAGGAGAGAATGAAAGGAACATGCAGGGCTAGAAGATAAGAACCTTGCCTGGGGTTCTTCTTTCCCTTGCCCTAAGCAAAATTTTGAGGCATATACAATTCTTTTTTAACATTTTTTTGTAGAGAGAAGTTCTTGCTATATTGCCCAGACGGGTCTTGAACTCCTGGGGTCAAGAGATACTCTCACCTTGACAGGCATGAGCCACCATGCCTGGCTAACTTTCCACTCATAAACTTCCAAATGAACTGAGCCCTAAACGTTCTTTAGCTAATTATCTATTAGTAATTTGAGAAATTTTTTTTTACCCATAGGAATAACATTATAAGTGGTTTTTAGATTCCCAGGCTAGCCCCTCGTCTAGCTGAACTTCAATTTTCATTTCAGCCCACCTCTCTCCAGAACCTCTGTGCCCTCAGTTGGTCCTAAGCTGCCACTTTACCCTGCTCTGTGTCCCCCAACAAGCACAGTCTGAAGAGTCCCCTCTCTCACTGCATCTGTTCTCAGCAGGGTGTTTGGAAAAGACGAGTCCAAGAGAAGCTAATCATTTTGTAAAATTCATGTTCTCAAAGCCTCTGAAATCCATTAGTCGCTACTTGGAATTCCAAGCAACGGCACAAAACGAAGCAGGGAAAAAGGCAGTATTTGAAAGAAGATACCTTTCTAGGGGGGCGCCCCCTATGTGGGGCTCCACTACGCAGCCCCTGGGGTACGTTGCTTTCTCCACTTCTTTTTTTTTTTTTTTGAGTTGGAGTCTCACTCTGTCGCCCAGACTGGAGTGCAGTGGCCGCTCCCAGCCACCGCAGCCTCGAGCTGCTGGACTCCGGCAATCCTTCCACCTCAGCCTTCCAAGTAGCTAGAACTACAGGCCCGCGCTACCACGCCCGGCTAATTTTTTTTTTTTTTTTTTAAGTTGTGGAGATGAGGTCTCGCCAAGTTGCCCAGGCGGGTCTTGAACCCGCGGGCTCAGGCAATCCACTCACCTCAGCCTCCCAAAGGCGCGGGATTACAGGCTGAGCCACCGAGCCCGGCTCTCCACTTCTGATGTGACGTTTCTCCACAAGCTTCTTATTGCAGAGATGTAGCCTGTAGCTGGCTCCCAAGACATGTCTCTAGAAGAATCAGGTTGGTTGTTTGGTTGCTTCGTATTTTTCAAAAGATCTCACACAGTTGGGTGCGGAGTAGAGCCAAAAGAACTGCTTTCTTTGTATGTGTGTCTGTGTTGCTAGTGGAGGTTGGAGAGAGAGGCATAGTCGTAGGGAAGGACGCCTGTCTCATGACCTTATTTTCTGATTCCTTGTTCAGGTTATCCATGGTTTGTCAAAGTTCCCAGAGGCCCATCATAGTTATAATGTTAGTAAATAAAGGTAACAACATAGCTTTTGTTGCTTGACCCTGGGAACGACTTGAAGTAAGAAAAGCCAGGAAAGTTGTTGGCGGTGCTGGCAACGTTTTCAATACTATATGATTTTAAGGATGAGCCCCTGTTGAAAAGAGCCATATCTAAGAATGAGACATACAAACATGTCTGCCACCCTCTGTGTAACGACGTGGGCTTCTCTTTGAAGTCGCTGTTCCCTCCACTGTGGATGAGTAAGCTCTGTTCTGGGAAGGGCTGTTTGGCCTCGGTGCTGATACGAAGCCTCTTCAGACCACAGATGGCAAGGTATTCGGTGGGGAGAGTGTTGGTGCTGCACAGGGAAAGCTTCAGGTCCTGAACCAGCGTGAAGTTCAACAGACGGCCCAGCGTAAACGTGTCCGTGAACCAGATGGTCAGACGGCCATCGTAGCTGGCTTGCTCAACTGCGAAGGGCAGGACAGTTTTGCAACTGCACATCAGGTTGGCCAAACTGTAGTCACAGTCCCGGATGTCAGCAGAGCAGCTGCAGTTCCGAATGGTGTTTTCCTTTGTGAAGATGAGTGTGCTGTTTGTCTGACCCTGGGTAAGGTAATTGAGTGCAAAGATGCCCAGCATGCCAAGCAGGAAGAGGCAGTACCTGGGAGGGAGTGCCATTCTTGCCCAGCGTGGGCCAGTGTGTGTGTGTCTCTCCTTCCTCAGCCAATCCGTTAGAACTCACCTGAAAGAAAAGACACAGCTTTATCACAGCCTCTCATTTATACACATAGCTATGGGAAAGGAGGCCCCAGAACAACCAGTCGTAAATGGTTCTTTATTGTAGTTCTAATAAAGGCAGGCAATACTTGCGGCTCAAGCTCTCTTCTCAGAGCCTCATCCAGAGCCAGCAGCCTCTGAACTCTGCTCATCCGAGGCATAAAACTCCCAGTAAAGTCTGCCAGTGAGGCTCACATGCCAGCAACAGAGCCAGCGCAGATGCCAGAGAAGAGGCCTATGGCATCCTATTTACCAGCAGGGATTTGGAGCCAAGTGAACACATCCTCCAGACATCCAGTTACTAGCATTTAGTACCTGCAAACCCCCAGACATGCACATGGCCTCCTCCCCCTCAATATCTGACTTCCTGGAATTCAGGAGACAAATAGCTCTTTGTTGGACTCAGCTACCCAAGCGCTACCTGTTAAACGACATAGCATGAATATCAATGAAGCAGTTAGTTAATGGCAAACTTTATTTCTAAGTAAACAAATGTGTTCCCCCACCTCCAGCATAGTAATCTGTGTATGGATCCTTTTATCCCTTCCTGACCACCTACAAATGTACCCATGTAATAGACAATGAAAAGACTAATCATCTACCAGTTAATCACAATTAGCTTGATTTAGCTACTTCTGTGCTATGAATTATAAATTGATTTTGTCAATTTATTGTAGGACCTTAAAACAAAACCATATATAAGAACTGCCAAAGAACCTAATCAAGGTAGGGATGTCTGCATAATTTAAAGAGTAACACCAATGTCCAGTATGGGGGGAAATGGCCTAAAGTGCCTGGCATATATTAGATGCATGGTCCTCCTTCATGGTATGATTGGAACGAGATGAGCATCATGGTAGCAGGTGCCAGATTTCAGTTTTGCAAAAATAATCAGATTTCCCCCAAGCTACCCAATGATTGAAGAGAGAAACCACACAGTACAGTTCAGTTCATGTCTACTCACTGAGTTCCGTGGGTATGACGGAACAGTGGCATGAGACCTCCGACAGAGAGGGCCCTGAGTTCTTGGCAGGGCCACTACACGAAAGGCCAGGGAGTGATGGGTGGGGTGGTCATTCCGAGGAGTTCAGTGTATGTCCAAAGAGTATGGTGACAGCAGGGCTAGGCAGACATGCATCACATAGGGTGTAAGGTAAGTGGCAAAACAAGGCAATAATAAATCCGAAGGAATCAAAGCTAAAAATAGCAGGGATCGGTAGATAGGCAGGAAGCATGAGGCCATCAGCAGGTGGCTGGAGTGCAGGGAGGCTACAAAGAAGCTCAGCCTAGTACATCTGAACAGAAGGCGAGACACTGATTCACAGCAATTGTAACTGTTTGCGCACTCGCCCGCTGTCCTCCCTCCCTCCTCCCTCCCTTCCCTCCTCCCTCCCCTCCCTCCTCCCTCCCCTCCCTCCTCCCCGCCTCCTCCCCTCCCTCCTTCCCGCCTCCTCCCCTTCTTGCTTCCTGCCTCCCTCTCTGCCTGCCTCCCATTCTTCCTTCCTTCCACAAAATGGAATGGGAGTTTACTAGGTGGCAGGCACTCTGCTACCCCTGAGGATGCGGAGCAGAACAAGCCAATCAAGGGCCCAGCTCCCATGGGACTTGTATTCTGATGGACTTGATTCTGCTTCCAATGGACTGGGGCAGCAGAGCCCAAGGCCAGGCGAGGTCTACACGTGAGGAACAACAGGCTGCAGCCGTGGGGAGGGGAAAGGGCAAAGTCAGGATTAGGCAGGGCCCGGTGAGGGCTACATGCCAGGCCCCAACCTAGGCCAGGCGGAAGAAACAAAGATATAAAAGACCTGGATCCTGCCCTCCAGGGATTCGTACTCAAAAGGAGGAAGACAAAGAGGCTGCACTGAGAAGGCTGTGCTGAGCCTACAGAGGGCTGAAAGCACACAGCCAGCAGATAGAGTCGGTTCTGCTTTGGGGACTGGATAAGGTGGTTTATTTATAGTGCTTTGTGTTTATTTTGAAGTTGGCACAGGATTTTCTTAGAGGATTTATTAATAAGTATATTTTGTAATAAAAGAAAGCATTGAGAAACTTGGAGCGCTAGCGTTCTCCTTGAACAAGAGGCTTAATAGTTTTAAATAGTGCTAGAATGTGGTGGTAACTACCCCACTTAGTTAAGGAACAGTGAATAATGTATTAATTACAAGACAATTTTAGAGAATAAGCTGTCCCAGATTCCACCGGAGGTTTCTGGGACTTCATGTCCCAGTAACCCTGCCATCCCAGAACTGGGAATACTGTCAATACCATTGGCCCACTCTGACCCCAGCCTTAAAGGGAAAGAGAGAGAAGAACATCTATCCATCAGCTCAGAACCCAGTGAGAAAAGCATCTGCCTCGTTCTTCCAGACTCTGATACTTCTGGGCATACACAGAAGTGGTCAATGGGTCGGAAGAGAAAAGGATATTGGTTTTGCTTGAACATGTGGTACTGGAAGTCCTCAAAGGAATTTGTGAGCAATTTCCCAACAATCAGGATGGACCTCAGGATGGGCCCTGCCTGCCTCCTGGATCTCAGGGAGCCTGAAGGCCAGAACAAGGAGGTCAGGTGCAGAAAGACTCACTGAGATGGCACACGGTGGGGCCAAATATCTCTGGTAACCCGTGCATGGGGTACCACGAAGATGCCAGCTGGGCATTTTTCTCCTTGGGTCCTACCACGAATTTCTTTCTTTAGGTTTGTTGAACACAGATTGTGAACACCCTCATTTCAAAGTGTATTTATTCATGCTTGTGAAGATGCAGAATGAAGGCAGGTACATCACCTTGCCCCCACCCTTTGCTAGGCCTCTGTCTATCGGGGTGAGGGGTGAGGCTCATATCAGGGCCTCAGGGGCAAGTCTCAATAATGAAGCACATGAAAAGCTGGGCGTTGAGGACGATGTGTCAGGCCAGGGCAGGTGAGAGGGCTCCAGACCAACAGGACCCTGGCTCCCCCTTCCCACTGCCACCCCTGCCACCTCCATAGTCTGTCAATCTTCTCTGTCCTACTTCAGGATTTTTCAAATTCTTTTCACCCTGTATTAATTATATAGGTAGTTTTTCTTTTCTTTTTCCCACTCAAGAAATACTCCCCTACTCAGATATTACCTCTTCCATGAAGCTTATCATGACATCTTCTACCCACAAGCAGGGTTAGGTGCAGACTTAACACCCCATCCAAATTGTTATTATAGTGATGATCACACTGTACTGACTCTTGGTTCAAGTGTCTCTTCCAGTGGAGTGGAAGCCCTTGAAGGAGCTTTTTTTTTGTTTATGTTTTCAGTTTCTAGCACAGTGCTTGGCGCATAGTAAGGACTCAAAAAAAATTTATTGAATTTTTATTGGAAACACAGTTTACCAAATGTCAGTATACTAAAACTCTTTTGATTACTAGTTATAGAAATCCAATTCAGGCTGGCTTGTGTGGAGAAAAATAACTCACTTGTTTAAAAAACCAAGGAAGGGTTTCAGGCAAGGCTTGATCCAGCTACTCAAAAAAAGGTTGGCAGGGATGTTTCTCCATTTTTTAGTCCTTTCTCTTTTGTAGGCTTTATTCTCATCTTGTCCTCAGACCTTCTGGGGACAAGATAGTCATTAGTCAATTCTAATAGTCAATCCTTCTATCAGCTGAGCAAACTCTAAAATTAAAAAAAGTCTCTTTTAAAATAGTACCAGGTGCGGTGGCTCATGCCTGTAATCCCATCACTTTGGGAGGCAGAGGCAAGAGAATTGCCTGACCCCAAGGGTTTGAAACCAGTCTGGGCCACTTGGAAAGACCTTGTCTCTACAAAAAATTAGCCAAGCATGGTGATGGGTGCCTGTAGTTCCAGCTACTCAGGAGGCTGAGACAGAAAGATTCCCTGAGCCTAGGAGGTTGAGGCTTCAGTGAGCCATGATCACACCACTGCACTCTAGCCTGGGCGACAAGTGAGACCAACTAAAAAAAAGAATAGTACCAGGCAAAAATGCATTGTTCTCCCTGACTCATATGCTCAGCCCTGGCAGAAGTCTGGTTCTACAATGGGAAGTTAGGGGGCATTATCAGAAAAAGGCAAAGTGGGCTGTCGGAACAGTGGGTGCCCACAAGAACAACAGGGTGAACATGGCCACCTTACCTCGTCAGTCTTAGCACCATGTTGATAAAATGCATCCAGAATTTCAAATGCTCTCCTTTACTAGAAGACTCCTCATTTTTACCTCCATGGAATCTTCAAGAATTTTTCCAGGAAGATACTTTGGGGATTGTATTTGTGAGAGACAGCCTTGTCTAGCTCCCCAATTTCTGGATTGGGAGTGTGTTTCTTGGGGTGCTCAAAACCTGGCTTTCTTCTGCCTTTAATTGCAGGGTCATAGCTCAGATTTTTATTGGAGACTCTCTGCTTTTTGCTGGACCATCTTACTGGTTTCAGACTCGTATTTTCTCAGTTTCTTCAGAATCTTCCTCCAATTAACTTTTCATCTTTTGTTGTTGTTGTTTTGAGTTGGAGTCTCATTCTGTCGCCCAGGCTAGAGTGCAGTGGCATGCTCACAGCCACTGCAACCTCGACTTGCTGGGCTTAGGTGATCCTTTCACCTCAGCCTTCCAGGTAGCTGGAACTACAGGCGCGTGCTACCACACCTGGCTTATTTTTTTTTACTTTATTTTATAATAGAGACGAGGTCTCACCAAGTTGCCCAGGCTGGTCTCAAACCCCTAGGCTAAGGCAATCCTCTTGCCTTGGCCTCCCAAAGTGCTGGGATTACAGGCTGAGCCACCACATCTGGCCTTCATCTTTAAAATAAAAATCACTTCAAATTTCTTTTTTGTTTGTTTGTTTGGGTTGGAGTCTCACTCTCTTGCCCAGACTGGAGTGCAGTGGCCGCTCCCAGCCACCGCAGCCTCCACCTGCTGGGCTCCG